TGTAGCATTCCACCAGCTACAATACCCTTCTCTCTCTATGCCAATCAACTCCTATACATCCTTCAAAACCCAGCTGTTGCCCCTTCTCTACATAGATCTTGACTTTACCCAAGAAGAACGTTGTATCTTTCTTGAGCTCTCCCAAAAGTTGGTCGTCCGTCCATACCCCCCCATCTCCCCACTTCAGTTCCACCCCACTTGCTCTGGCTGGAATTCAGCACACTCAGAAAGTTCTTAGGGGTTTGTGTTGTACGTCTGGAATACACAGCAACCTTGGAAGACACCCAAAAACCACTGGGTGCTGCCCGGCAGGGACACTGTGCCTAGGAAGACATGCAGATGGGGCAGCCCTGTGCTAGCTAGGCCAAGCCCAGAGGAGGCAGGAAGCACAGGTGGGCGGCGCTCCCAGAGAAGGGCCAGCATTAGCGTGGGTTTCGGTCTCCCACCAGACCAAGGAGCCTTCGGGGATACAGGGAGCCTAGGGACATGGGTCACTGGCCTTGCTCTTGGCCTAGGGTCTCCCTGGATGCACCCTCATGACAGGTTATTTAGGAAGTCCTCAGCTCTCCTATGACCCAGGGTCCCCAACCCAGCTCCGGGCCGCTAGCCCTGGTGGGGCCTTTTGTTGTTTGGAGTGAGGCCAGTTTACTCAGAGTCTGCTTAAGATACAAGGGTGCAGCCGGGCGGTGGTGGCGCACGCCTTTAATCCCAGCACTCGGGAGGCAGAGGCAGGCGGATCTCTGTGAGTTCGAGACCAGCCTGGACTACCAAGTGAGTTCCAGGACAGCCTCCAAAGCTACAGAGAAACCCTGTCTCGAAAAACCAAAAAAAAAAAAAAAAAAAAAAAAAAGATACAAGGGTGCATTAAGAAACAACCTAGTTGGGTATAATGCTCCACTCCCTTAATACCAGTACTCAGGAGGTAGAGGCAGGTGGATTTCAGGGCTAGCCTGGTCTACACAGCTAATGTCTCAAAACATTAATTTTTTTTTAAAAGACATAGCGAGGATACGGAGGTGAGCTTGACCATTGCTGACCTCGGGCTTGAGGCTACCAGAGGGCTGTGGGCCAGGGAGTTGTCTAGCTTGTGGGGACCCTGGGAGGGAAAGATGGGCTTCCGGGAGGATTTCCCACACTGGTCAAGCCCAGCGAGAGCAGATTGGCACACCCTTCTAGCTAAGGAGTGCTTGGGAGGGAAGGACTGGGACAGGGGTCCTCCCCATCCCCTGGTTGAAGAAGTGTGGGGCTCCCGGTTGCTTCCCGACCCCGCACCCCGGGGTTCCCCCCCCTCCCCGCGTACCGGGACTCCGAGGGGCGCACGCGCCTCCCTCCGCAGGACGCTCAGCACCGGGGTCTCCGTGGCGGCCGCCAGGAACTGCAGCAGGCGCAGCTCGGGCCGTGCCTCGGGGAAGGCTATCGAGGCCACCACGCCGGGAGGTGCCAGGACCTGGCACAGACCTCGAGCCAGCGACGCGGGGTCCCGGGCAGGGGACGCGACGGCCACCAGTTCCAGACTAACGTTGTGCAGCAGCCGTGGCGCGGGGGTGGCTAGGGCGGCCAGGACGCGGGCGCGGGCGGCGGGAGCGCGGGGCAGGAGCGCAACCAGGCGCACGGAGCCCCCGGCGCGTGTGGTAACCCCGCAGGGCTGAGGGTGACCGCGCACTGCCCGGGACCCCAGCGCCAGCGCCAGGCCGAGCCACAAGGTCCGCACACACTCCATCCCTAAGTTGCCACTGTGCGCGGGGAAGGAGGGGACACCTGGACCAGCGTGCTCCCGTCCTTCTTGTGGGTCAGCAATCCACTGAAGGAGGAGCTGGGCTGCTGCCTGAGTTTTGCCGTGACTCGCAGGGCGGGCATCATCCAAAGATGATGCTTCCCACGGCCCAGACGGGAGCTCCCAGAGCAGTCTTCACCGGCTCAATACTTGTGCACCCTGGGCAAAACTGAGGCAGACAGATGTGGTGGAAATCTGTAAGGTAGATCTGCCCTCCGGTCCCGGCAAAAATCTTGAAAAAAGAAAAAAACTGCCTGTATTTACTCCTGGGTTTGTGAGAGGGAAGGTGCATCCCGCAGCCATGTGGGGACAGCTCTTGGGGGTCTGTCTCTCCTCCGCATCCCATGGATCCTCTGGAGGATATGGAGTTCTCAGACTGGGCAGCAATCGTCTTCACCCACTGAGTCACCTTGTTGGCTTTTGTTCTCTTTTATTTTTTTATTTTTGGTTTTTCGAGACAGGGTTTCTCTGTATTGTTTGGAGGCTTTTTTCTCTTTTAAAATATTTATTATTATTGGCGATTGCCTTTAATTCCAGCACTCTGGAGGCAGAGGCAGGCAGATCTCTGAGTCTGAGGCCAGCCTGGTCTACTGAGTGAGTTTCAGGACAGCCAGCGCTACACAGAGAAACCCTGTCTCAAAAAGACAAAAACAAAACAAAACAAAGCAAAAATAGTAGTAGTAGCAGCAGTATTTTTTTTTCTTTTGAGAGGGTTTCATTACATAGCTCTGACTAGTATGGAACTCTGTATTTAGACCAGACTGCCCTTGAACTCAAGATCAACCCAGTGGTTTCGCAGGGCTGGGATTAACTAGTTTTAGTGGGGGGCTGGGTCCTTGCATGCGAGGACAGTGCTCTCAGAGACCACTAGATCCCCTGGAGCTGGGTATGAGCCTCCCAGCAAGGGTACTTGGAACCAAAGAGAAGTTTCTTTTTTTTTTTTTTTTTTTTTTTTTTGTTGAGACAGGGTTTCCCTGTGGCTTTGGAGGCTGTCCTGGAACTCGCTCTGTAGACCAGGCTGGCCTCGAACTCACAGAGATCTGCCTGCCTCTGCCTCCCGAGTGCTGGGATTAAAGGCACACACCACCAACGCCCGGCCAAAGAGAAGTTTCTTAGGAAGGCAATCTGAACTAACCACAGTGCAGTCTTTCTGTCCTCCGGAACTCTTCTTTAACCTTCAAAACCCAGTGTCAAATGTCCGGCCGTGAAAAACCCTGAACACATTGCATGAACCCCAGGGACTCACTCTCCTGTTGACTTCTTTGGGGACCTCTGGTCCCCTCAGTTCAGGGAGGACAAGGGGGCCCCAGTTCAGGCCTCTCAGGGCTGTGCACAGCTGGCTCTCCATGACGCTTGTGTGAATGCTTACTGGTCTCTCCTCCAGCACTCCAGAACTCTCTATAGCTCCCATTTGTCTCGGTCCCCCAGCTCAACTGACTCAGGGTCCAGTTGTCATCCCCCGAGTGTGGCCTGCAGGATCAGGGACCAAAGGCTTCCCCAGCCAGGAGACATGGGATATTGGGCATTCTCCCAAGACCGTGCCCAGCAGCGGCCTGCAGGAACACTCAGCCCTGATGAATGAATCTACTCCCCACTATCCTCATTCTCCTTGCAGAGCCAGCATTAAAGGGAGAACATCCATTAACCAAATAAAAACGCCAGCAAGACAGATTGCACCTCGAGCCGCCTTTTAATGAGATGGCTTGGCTCTGAGGACGGCAGGCAGGCTAGGCATGGGGCCAGGGCTCCAAGTTAGGGATCCTCAGACACTCTCCCCAAGGCTGAAGTGCCTGAGCCTCATCCCCCTGGATGGTACTTAAGTTCTCAGAAGTCTGCCTTGTCCACACTAGCTGGCACTCACTCTGCAAACACTCCTGGATGTCACTTCTTGTCCACACTAGCTGGCACTCACTCTGCAAACACTCCTGGACGTCACTTCTGCTTGGTCCACTCAACCCCAGACGGCTGGAGTGCAGCCTATCAGGCTTCAGTGTGGGTAGGTAGGAAGCCTTGCACAGTAGAGCTTATCCCCAAGAATACTGTTCTGGACAGTTCATGTCATTGGGTCCCCCACTGTGGCACTTGGTGCAGGGCTTTCTCGTTGGGTACGTGTCCTCAATGTCCTCCAGACTTCATGGCTCACCCATGCTGCACCCCTCCCCTCCCACGGGCACTGGGGCTGGTGGCCTTTGCTTCTGCCCCATCCCAGTCCTGGTACGTGAGGATGTCTGTGGGGTCTTGACCAAGGTTGCCCCACTGCTCTGAAGACTGGGATCGTGTGCCAGCCTGACAGATATAATGGCCGAGTCCCAAGGACAATTCTTAATCCCTATGACCCAGAGGACCAATCAGATGAGGGACACATCTAAGACTGTGCTGTGGACATGCACTTGCCATCCCGAGGCTGGGCCACGGGATCTGAGTTCAGGCTGGTGTGGGCTAGCTGGCCTTTCCCTTCCCTCCAGACGCAGCAGGTGAGAACCCAGCATGCAGGGTGCCACCTCACACACGTGCCCCACGCCCCAACGCCAACCGGAATCCCAGGCATAAGCAGAATGATAGACACCAAAGGAGGGCACCTGAGTTCACCTTCATCACCTGTCTCGGGAAGCCTCGAGCCTCTGGTGTGCTGGGAACCCACGGTTGGTGGAGTCCCTGCCTGCCTGCCTCTCCCCAAACCTCTCCCAAGGAGCAGCTGAACAAACCAGGGAATGGATGGAGGGTCAGGGGATCTGGGCCAAGAATGCAAGCGAGCCAGCTCAGTGGACTGATTCATGTCATAGGAGGCTGCCATTCCTCAGGGCGTGGTCACGTCTCGCCACCAGGTGCTGTCTGGAAGTGGACCGCCCAGAGGACACAGCCACAGGGGTTCCGGTGTGGGACCAGCACTGGCACTCCCTGGAGCTGCAGCAGTGACAGCTCTGCTAAATCACACAGATTTTCTGGATCGTTAGGCAGAGCTGTCAGTTGAGGGTGGCTTTCTGGAAGGTTCTGTGGGTGTTTAGGCTGAACTCCAGACTGGTTGGCAGCAGCCCCAGGACAGTATGTGGAGATTGAGCTCTGGATGCCCATGTGGGGTTGGCCGCTGCCTGGCTGGCTCCAGTGAGCAGGACTCTTCACGGTCGGCCCCCAGCGCCCCCCCTCTACCCACGCCCCAGGGTCCCCTGGTGTGAGGCCTCCCAACCATGCCCTGCCCTGGTCCCTCAGGGACAGAACAGCAGAGTCGTAAACTTCATAGTCCATTCATTGTTAGACATCAGACCCCAGGCAAGCGTTTCCTGACGGCTGCCCAGCGTGGTCACTTGGAGGGCCGCGTGATGATGCGCGTGGAGAAGTCGAAGAGGTCCCGGTTGATCTTCCGCAGGCTGCGCACCTCCTCCTCCAGCTCCAACACCCGAGCTGGCAACATCTGGTTGCCTAGCATGTTCTGTGGGGAGAGGGGCATGTGGGCGGGGCTGCTCCTGCCCACCCCACCCAGGCCCCGCCCAGAACTGGAGCCAACCCTGCCCACCTTCGCCATGTAGCCTGCCAGCGCGGACTGCAGCTGCTCCAGCCTCTCCAGGTAGGTCTGCTCAGTGCCCTGCAAAGCAGCATGGTCACCCCGTCGTGTCCGGCCCTAGAGGAAGCGGCCTCCTCCATAGGGCCACAGCGCAGGGCCGAGGGCAGAGGCTACAGAGAGCGAGCGGGGCCAGCTCCCAAACCCAGCAAGTCTCACAATGGGACCGCAGGGGCAGGGCAGTGTCCTTCTGGGACAATAGGTCCTCAGCCTGTCCACCACCCTCTGGGAAAGCACCTGACGCCCCTGGCCCAGGCCCACGGGAGCCACCGAGAACAGCGGTGTGAAGGCTGGGCAGAAGCCCTTCCTCCCGGGGGAGCTCTCGCTGCTCTCTGTCCTTCACAAACGAGCGGGAGCAATGTGTCAAGTGTCCTGAGTGTGGGCTGACGCAGCGTGCCCTCACGCCGACAGCAACTGTGGGGACTGCAGGGAATGGAATGCTCTGGAACAGCGGCTGAGTGGTCCTACCTGCAGATGGAGGCCTAGCTGCAGGCGCAGGCCCCCGCCCTGGGCCTCATCTCCATGCTCAGCGCCCAGTAGGTGTTTATTGAAGTGGGGCAGAGGCAGGCTGGGCCTGGATTCAGGGTTCAGCATGCTGGGCGGGGCCAGCACGATGGCTGCATTGGTCACTGGGCCTTTGAGGGTGACTGTGCGCAGACTCTGCTTGCTCTTCACGTCCCACAGCCGCACAGACTCGTCGTGGGAGCCCGACAGCAGAACGCTGCCGTCCGTGGACACCGACAGGCACGTGACTTGGTTCCTGGGACAGGGGGACAGGGTTGGGTGCCGCACGGGGGGGGGGGGGCTGACCCCACCTGGCAAAGGCGGTTGACTACCTGTGCCCCTTGAAGACCTTCCCCGCGCTCTGCTCAGGCCGGAAGTTGTGCTCTCTCTGTCCGGGCTGCTGTGGAAACATGCTGTCAGTGTCTGGGATGCGGGGCACCTGCCGTGTGGTCCTCGAGCCCCCAGAGGCCACTCACCCAGCTGCACAGGTCCACCTGGAAGATAGAGCCATCGCTACCTCCACAGAACATGTGATGCTCCGCCAGGTCCATGGTCACAGACGTGATGCCAACGTCAAACAAGACCGACAGCAGCAGGTCTCCCGAGGACACGGCCCAGAGCTGCGGGAAGGGAGGCACCATGGGCATGCTACACGTCTCCAAACCCAGCACAGACACAGGCCATGCTGGCTCCTCGGCCTCTGCAGGGCCAGTGCCGACCCAAGCACCAGCCAGGTGAACTACGTCACCAACGGGGGTAGGTGGCCGTGTCTTCACTCTGTGCTCCTAGGCACAGGCAAGGGGGTCTTTAAGCTCCAGGGAGTGTGGTCTACACCCACACCAGGTTCCAAGCAAGCTGTAGCTGCACGGAGAGACGGCGCCCCCAACCAGCACCGAAGGACAGAGAGTAAAAGAGGGCTGGGGCGGGGCTGAGGGCTGGGGCGGGGCTGAGGGCTGGGGCGGGGCTGAGGTACAGGGCTGGGGCGGGGCTGAGGGCTGGGGCGGGGCTCAGGCAGAGGGCTGGCCAACACACAGGCCTGGGCTCCATCTCTAACAAATGCCAATAACAAACAAACAACCCCAGGCTGTCAAGGGCAGCTGGCCACTGCAGCGTGGCCAAGTGGGAATTTCCAGCAGACAGGCTAGACTGTCCATCTCTGGGTGTCCTTGGCGGGACACAGGGATTATGGGCTGTCTGGAGCCAAGGTAGCCGGGGCAAGGGGGAGGCCAGTGTCCCTCTCTCCTAGTTGAGACCCAGCGGCTGCCAGGAATTCACGGTCCCGTTGGGGATGCTACCTTCACAGTCTGATCCAGCGAAGCGGTGGCCACCCGGGCCATGGGGCCCCCAAAGCCACAGTGCAGGTCTGTGATGGGAAGCGTGTGTTGGGACCAGACATGCCTCGGGGCGAGGATCCTGGACGGGTCTGCCTGCAGCACACTGGGGCCAGGACAGCAGTGAGAGGAAGCCCCTGGCCCGCCTCCTGCAGCCCCGAGGTCACCGCAGCACACGCCCTACCTGCAGAGACTCCAGACCAGCACCAGACAGTCCTTGCCTCCTGAGACAAAGTGGCTGCTGTCACCCGTGAACTTCAGGCATGACACATCTTGGTAGTGACGGCTGAGGACGACCAGGAGGTTCCCAGTGGAGACCTGGAAGAGGCCGGCACTGGTCAGGGGTGACAGAGGCTGTGCCACCCCACAAGAACCCTGCCCACCTGCTCCAGGGCCCCCAGTGGACAGAACCAGACAAGGCCAAGGACTCTGTCACTGTGCACTTGGCCAGGACTGGCTAGGCCCCCAGTGTCTGATGGTAGTGTGACCCCACCCTGTCTCCAGGAACGGGGGACGCAGGTGTTCTGTGTCCTCTGAGCCACCAGCTGACACATGTGAGACCTGTCTCAGTACAATGGAACGGAAGGGGGCACGTGTCCCTCAAGGCTTGGGAGGCTGTGGCGCATCTGCCTGGAGTCTGAGGTTTATCTGAGTCTGCTATAGAACTGATTAGTGCCAAGGGAACAGAGCAGCAGGTCCTCGCAGGGCGAGAGAGAGGCTGCAGCCGGACTGCCTGGATCTGAGGCTGGCTCCCATCCATCCCAACACAGGACAGGGAATGCAGGACGGACAGTGTGTTAGGGGGAGGCGGCTCCAGCCCTGCCCCCAGGTCAAGGGTGCCTGGGTAACTCAGAGTAGGGAAGGAGAGCCCATCCTCACACTAACGCCACAAGGAGACTGTTGCTCATGGCGGTCGGCAGAACCTCAGCCCGACAGGCTCCTGAGTGCCACGGGGGGGGGGGCACAGCCTCCCAAGCCTTGAGGGACACGTGCCCCCTTCCGTTCCATTGTACTGAGACAGGTCTCACATGTGTCAGCTGGTGGCTCAGAGGACACAGAACACCTGCGTCCCCCGTTCCCACACAAGCCTTGAGCACAGAAATCTGGGAAGACTGTGCAGCTCCCCCTGGTGGCCACAGCTCAGATTCCTTAGGGTGGGCAGGAGCCAAGAGAAGGCACTGAGCTGGGAGTGGGGGTGGAGGGCACCTACAAGCTGTTTAGTTGTCACTTTGACACAAACAAGAGTCACCCAAAATGGCCTCCATCTTGCTGGCTGTGGTCGTCTGTGGGCATCTTCCTGACTAAGTGATTGACATGGGTCCTCCCACTGTGGGTGGTGCCAGCAGGCTGGAATGTGGGGAGGAAGGTGATGGCAGTGAGCATCTTTAACCCAGCACTCTGTGAGTTCGAGACCAGCCTGGTCTACAGAGGGAGTGCCAGGACAGCCTCCAAAGCCACAGAGAAACCGTGTCTCGGGGGTGAGGATGGGGCGGTGGCAATCGAGTGGCTGAGTGGGAGAACCAGCAGGCTCTGAGCCCTGGGCTCCCCAGCAACACATAAGCCAGGCACTGCTATCTCAGCACCGGGGAAGTGTCGACAAGGATTTGGAATTCAATGGCTACAGAATGAGTTCAAGGTCATCCTGGGCTATGTGAGACTCCATCTCAAAAACAAAACAAAGGACTAAGGAGATGGCTCAAGTGTGAAGACTTGGGTGCAGTTGCCAGAGCCATGGAAAGCCGGTGTCTAGGCACTCCTGCAGGGGACTGGAAAGCCATCGGTGACTGTGGAAAGCCATCGGTGCCGGTGTCTAGGCACTCCTGCAGGGGACTGGAAAGCCATCGGTGACTGTGGAAAGCCATCGGTGCCGGTGTCTAGGCACTCCTGCAGGGGGCTGGAAAGCTATCGGTGCCGGTGTCTAGGCACTCCTGCAGGGGGCTGGCTGCTCTCTGGTGGCCTCTCTGACACACAGTGAGTGCAAGTACAGGAAAACCCGAGAAAGCGTGGGAGAGGGAGTCAACCCAGGGGAGCCCCTCCTGTGGGGCCAGCGGACCTGGCCTGGGCATCTCAGCTTCAGAGTCGTGGCCTGCGAAGGCCATGGTGGCCTTGGGGTGGTTAGGAGGAAGAGGGAGCCAGGAGCAGCAGAAACGAGGTTGACCTCAGCTGTGCACCGGTGCTCTCCTCCTAGGGCCGGCCAGGGCCCAACCTAGAACCCAGACTCCCCAGGCTCACTCACGGCCAGGGTCATTAACGGGGCCCAACAGGCAGCCAGGATGGGGCAAACAGAAGGCTGCTTGACAACTGATCTGACTCTGGGGAAGCAGGGAGAGGTGACAGTGCTGGCAGCTCTGGTCAGAACTGTGAGACAAAGGGACTGGCTGCCCTGGAACTCAGGCTGTAGACCAGCCTGGCCTCAGACCCTGAGATCTGCCTGCCTCTGCAGTGTTGGGATTAAGGGCATGCGCCACCACCAACACCACCGCCCAGCAATAGTTTTATATTTTAAAAGATCTTATTTTTAAATTTATATGTCTATGGGTACCCACAGAGCTCAAATCAGAGTGCCAAGTTCCCTGGAGCTCCAGACAGTGTGAGCCACCATATGGCACTGAGGACTGAACCGGGTCCTCTCCAGGAAAAGCCGGAGCTTTTACTGCTGAGCCAGCCGTTTCTCCTGTCCAATCCATAGTTTTTAAAAAATTTTAGGGTTAGCCAGGCGTTGGTGGCGCACGCCTTTAATCCCAGCACTAGGGAGGCAGAGGCAGGCGGATCTCTGTGAGTTCGAGACCAGCCTGGACTACCAAGGGAGCTCCAGGACAGCCTCCAAAGCCACAGAGAAACCCTGTCTCGAAAAACCAAAAAAAAAAAAAAAAAAAAATTTAGGGTTATTTTCTTTATGTGTTTTGCCTCCGTGTAGTATGTGTACCATACGCATGCCTGCTGCCCATCAAGGTCGGATCCCCTAGAGCTGACCTTAAGGTTGCTGTTAGCGATCACGTGGGTGCTGGGAACTGAACCCAGGTCCTCTCTAGAGCAGCCTGTCTTCTTAACCACAGGAGCAGGTCTCTCTGCTGTTGACTGAGCATGCCAACTGCTAGGCTGAGGAGTTCCTGCTTCCTGCCCTGACTGACTTCCCTCAATATAATTGTCAGACAATATACTACATGATATAACAAGCCAAACAGACTATCTCCTCCCTCCATTACTTCTAGAACACTCCTCATTCCTAGGTGTCTTTCTTAATTTCCCATAAAGATGGGAACAGCACCAGGGCCGCCACAGTCATGATGAATAAGGACCCTACAGACACGGTCATATTTGGGGCCTCAGAAGTCACAGGTTACCCTCCAGCATTCCCAAGTGACACACACACACACACACACACACACACACACACACACAGACACACACACACAGACACACAGACACACACACACACACACACAAGTGTTTTACCTCCCATAGGTAGATGCTCTCTGCAATTCCTGCCAGGACATACAGGCCATTGGGTGCTGTGGTCAGACAGGTGACCGGACCAGGACACATGATTTTCTGTTGGAGCTGGTCCTAGAGACACAGGATAGAAGACAAGCCGTGTGAGCATCAGGAAGAGCCACGAGCTTGTTAAGCACAGAGAGAAAGAGGAACAGAACTCCCAGTGTTGGGCTGGGATGTGGCTAGACCCCCTGCCTAGAACCTCCCTAGTGAATGGCAGGGTTGGGGTTCAGTACTAGGGGTCCTACCTGACCCCAAGGAGGCTCTGGGTTCCAGAACAAGAACCAAAAAACCCAAGAGGGTAACAAGAGCCGGGTGGTGGTGGCGCTCGCCTTGAATCTGCGCACTGGGGAGGCAGAAGCAGCTGGATCTCTGTGAGTTCGAGGCCAGCCTGGTCCGCAGAGCTTATTTCCAGGACAACCCGGCCTAAAATGGGGAGACCCTGTCTCGCAATCCCTTCCCCGCAAAGAGGATAACGCATGGGCCACACCAGTCTATCGCTTCCCAAGATCTCCAAATGCACGACGTCTAGGGAACTCCATTTTCCTTCCTGCATCAAAACTAAGAGTTCTCAGACTAGAAGCGTGCAAACGCTGATTCGCCAGAGATCTTCATCTGAGCATGCGCTCAGAAACCCCGGGGCGCCCTGGGCCCGGCAGCCCGGCCGGGCAGGTCCTGGGCCCGCCAGCGCGCTCGCACGGCGCCGCACCCCGGGTCGCCGCGGCCCCAACCCCGGCGCGGCCCCCAAGGGCGCCGCGGCTCCGCACCTTGCGCTGCAGCTCCCAAGCGCAGATGTAGTTCTTGCCCTGCTGAGCCGCCAGCAGGTACTCGCCATTGAGCAGCGCCAGGCCCCGCGGCCCCGCCTGGCCGCCGCGATAGGTGAGCAGGTTGGCGCCCGAGTGAAGCTCCCACACAACGCAGCTCCAGAGCTGCGCCGAGGAGTCCGTACACACGGCCACCTCCACGGGCGCCGCCATCGTGCCCGGCCGGCCCCGCCCCCTGATCCCGTCACCCTTAGCGAGACTCGCAAGATGGCTCCCGGCGCGCCGGAGCGGCACTTGAGCGCCTCCTAGCGGCGCAACTGGAGAGCCCGCACACGCGCAGTAGCCTCACCGTGTCGCGGAGGCGGCGCGGCGCTCCCAGGGAGCGGGGCCACTGGAGCGGTTTGGGCGGGGCTCTCTCGCGCATGCGTCGCGATGCTCGCGGCGGTGGGGCGGAGCCAGCCGCCGGTCTCCCGGTTCCGTGGAGAGCTGTGTTGTGAGGGGGCGGAGCTGCACGGCCCGCACATGCGTGCAAGCGCCGCTGCTGGGGGCGGACGAGGCTAGCCGGCTCCGCGGGCCGGAGCATCCGCGAGCCTCTTCGAGGACCGGGCCGGGGAGACCGGATTCCCGAGCAGCTGGCCGCTGCGCGCATGCGCGCTCGCGGGGCTCGCCCCTGGAAGATGCTCTCGCTACCTGCTGGCCGGGGCGACGTCACACTCAGTGGCTGCGGAGCTTCGCCGCACGGTTCTGCTGGGCGTTTTGGCTCGAATGACTCAAACTTTTACAGTTGTTGTTTTTTTGCCCCCCTCTGGAGACACTCTGGTCCTCGAACTCGCGGCAGTCCTCCTGCCTCAGTTTCCCGTGTGCTGAGATGGACAAGCCTGTGTCACCATGGCCGGCTTACTTTTCAAAGTTTTTTTTTTAAACTGTTCTCTTTTATTTTTTTTTTAAGATTTACGTATTTATTACATATACAGTGTTCTGTCTACACGCCAGAAGAGGGCACCAGATTGAATTGCAGATGGTTGTGAGCCACCATGTGGTTGCTGGGAATTGAACTCAGGACCTCTGGAAGACCAGCCAGTGCTCTTAACCTCTGAGCCATCTCTCCAGCCCCACTTTTCAAAGTTTTATTTATGACATTATACTTTTATTTAGACGCAGATAAATCAGTTACGGCGTGCAAGATCCGGCTCCACGCACACCAGGGGTTTTATAACGTCTGGCCAGGCGTGGCTCTTGGGGATTAACCGCTCGCTCACTGATCGACCCACGGCCTTTGTCGACTCGCCTCCCCGAGGACCTTTCCTCTTAGGAGTCGTAAATTTCAGATTTGCATTTGGGTCACTCGGTGTGGACCCAGCACGCCAATCTCTAGTCCTACGCGCTTTACCTTAGCCACAGCTCCCAGCCACAGGCCAGGTCTAAAACCGAGGCGTTTTGTTTGTTTCTCTCTTCCCTGACGTGCCGTTAGCAAAGGAGAATGGGCGCACGTGTTGAACCTTGCCGCCGAGGAGGAGGTAGTCGCCCGGAGCTCTGCACCAGCTGGAGCCGCGGGGCTGGATGAGGGCTGAGGTCCTGAGCAACTACTGGGCTCGAGAGAGAGAGGTGCAGGCCGGGCGCCAGCTTGGCACTTGGCGACCCGGCAACGGGGTGGAGAGCAATGTGCCACGCTCAGTGTGGCCACCAGGTGGCAGGCGCAAGCTGCGGGGACGTGGAGGACACGTTGCTGTCCTGGGGCGCGGACAGAGATCCTGGGGCAGAGTAGAGGGTGTAGAGCTGCGTCTGAAAGCTGCGCACGTGTGCCCCAGGAATCATGTAGCCCAAGTTGTCCTTAGACTTCAGATTCTCCTGCCCCAACTTCCTAGGTCACAGAGTTTGTAATGACAAAGTGTGAATAAGAAGCGCCTCCTGCCTTTAATCCCAGCGTTGGGGAGGCGGATCTCTGAGTGGGAGGCCAGCCTGGCCTACAGAGTGAGGTCCAGAGGTCCAGAGCGCCAAGGCTACAGAGAAACCTGCCTCGAAAAACAGAGAGAGGAGAGAAAGGAGGGGGCGCGCTGTGGAGATGACTTGGTGGGTAATAGCAGAGGACCCAGGCTCAGTTCCTAGCTTCCGTGCCGGGGTGGCTCACAGTTCCTCCAGCTCCGGGGGATCTGACACCTTTGGCACTCCAAGGCACCTGCATGCAAGTGAAAGTATGCTCCCACAGATACAAGAGTTAAAGTAAGAAGAAACACGGCTCGCAAAAAGAGAAATGGTGTTGGGGACAGCTGGTTGAGGGGCGCCCTAGCATGCATGAAGCCCTGGGGTCCACCTAGCACCACAGAAAACAGGCACGGTGATTTGGGTATCGGGCGTCATCCCAAGCCCATGGGATCAGGAGTTTGAAGTAAGCCTGGGCTACTTGGTGAGCTTGAGGTCAGCCTAGGTTACATGAGACTTTGCCTTTTTTTTTTTTTTTTTTTTTTTTTGGTCTTGTTTTGTTTTTCGACATAGGATTTCTTTGTAACATTGCAGGTTGTCCTGGAACTCACTCTGTAGACCAGGATGACCTCAAACTCATAGAGATCCCCCTGCCTTTGCCTCCTGAGTGCTGGGATTAAAGCCGTGCATCCCCACTGTCCAGCTTCTGTGTCAAATTTAAAAAAATAAATAAATTCAAGGGATACAAGGGATAATCTTGCAGGCCAGGGTTTGGTCCCTAGCAGAAAAGGTGGGGGTGCCAAGGGCCAGCTCGGGGCTTGGACCTGTCAACTGTGAGCGGTGGCTGGGGCCCTTGTACAAACCCAGGCCTTGGTGTCCCTGCTTCCCCAGGGGCTTGCTAGGAGGACCCACGGGGACTGTGCCCCAGGCCCCAGGGACATCCTTATCTGGGTAGGTCAGGCCTAAAAGTTTCCTCAGTCTTCTAGGACTGGGGCAGGGACGGCGACTGCTGGCCAGCAGCTGGGCCAGGCCTCCCTTGCAGCAGCCAAGCCCTTGAAACCTGGCTGTTCTTTCCCTGGGGGTGGATGGCCAGGCCACCGTGAGGTTAGAGGTCAGCCCGCCCCCAGCGGCCCCTGAAACGATGACAAAAGCCACATGTGGGCACGTGGGACCACCCCGTAGCTAGGCCTCTGAGAAAACGCAGGGTATGGGGAAGTCAGATCAGAGGAAACTGAGGCACAGGCGCCCTTACTCCCCCCATAGACACTCCATGGCTACATTGTCAGTGCCCACACAACTCCTGCCTCCACTTTCTCCCCTGTGGAATCCACAAACCAGCACACCATCACTCCTCAGGAAGGCTTGACAGTGGACCCCCAAAAGGAGGGAGGTTCTGCTGGCCCCCTCAGATTCTGTTCTGCCAATGAGAATATTTTGGGGGTCACTGGGTGGGACCTTGCTGTACAGGCTCTTGAGAAGTTGCCCACGGCTGTGCAGCCTCAGGGCCACTCAGTTCCCTCTCTGATGGCTCTTAGGCCGAGGAGTGAGAAGTAACAGGCCCAGCCAAGCCAGTTTGCCTGAGAGATGACTTAAAAAAAAAGTTGGTCCTTGTCCCCCAGGTGGTGTTGGGGACAGGCAGGTGACTTCTCTCCTTGGAAGCTGTAAAATGCAGGTTTCAGGACCAGGAGGAGTCAACCAGCTGTTGTTTTCCTCAATTCTGTCGGTAACCAGCCTGGGCCAGACTTGGCCAGAGCAGGCAGGAGGAGAGTAGCCAAGGTCTGGGCCTGTCCACCTGGCTTCCATTACCTCGAGTCATTAAGTCTCCCAGTCCCCTGGGGGTGGGGCTGACGTTCAGGGATCCTCTCTGCTCTCAAATCATTGAGCTGTCGCTGCCAAGGCCCAACTGTCCCCTCCCTGGTGCCCACTGAGGCACACATCACAGCTTGGAGCCGTCAAGCTGGGAGAGGGTGCGTGGTAAGGCGTGCCTCGATCCCAGTGCTCCAGGCTGAGGCAGGAGTGCCCTTGTGCCTGGGGAGGGACTGCTAGGAGCCCTGGTCTCCGGGGTGACAGGTGAACTGGGCTGGGGGCGGGGAGCCCTGGGGAGTTAGCTGGCTTCCAAGGAGGCCTCCACCTGGCTGCTGGAGAAGTGTGCATGTCACATGCCATTAGCCCAGGGGACAAAGATGGGATGATGGTGTCCCTAGGCGCTAAGGGAATGCCTCCCAGACAGATGGGAGGGTCTGTGCAAAGGTCCCGAAACAGGTCAGGCCTGCCGTTCCTTCACACCCGGGAGGCAGAGGTACATTGATCTGTGTGCCTTGGGTTCCAGGCCAGCCAGGATCGTGTAGTGAGACCTTGTTGCAAAAAGAATATGGTCAACATATATTGTATGAAATTCTCAAAATGTAAATTTTTTTCTGAAGTGTGTGCATGTGCGGGGGGGGGGGGGGGTGTTTGAGACAGGCTTTGTCTGTGTAGCCCAGGCTGGCCTCCAACTTACAGACATCCTCCTGCCTTTGCCTTCCAAGTGTTGGGGATGAAGGGGTGTGCCACCACTGCCTGGCCATTTTTTTTTCCTGGAGGAAAGGCAGAAAATGGCAGCCAGGGAGATGGCTTAGCAGGTGGGGACCCCATCCCCAGTCTGCTGCCCTGAGTTCAGTCGACAGGACACACGGTGGAAGAGAAGCAACTTCCAAAAGCTGCTCTCGTCAGCTCTGCATGGGGCAGCGTTACCCTGGAGCACATACCACACAGCAGACAGACCTGCGGCAAAAGAAACCACCAGGGGCAGCCCTCACCCACACTCCAGTCTGAGGGAGGGGCCCTCCCCACGCCCCCCCAAATCCAAAACAGCATGGAGTCAACCTTCCACAGAAGTGTCTCAACTCTTTAATCTCATCCATTTACAGGGTTACAATTGCGTTAAATATTTCTGAGGTTTAAATACAATCCACAATAAGGTCATAAAATGTAAACTTTCAGTGTTTTTTTTTTTAAGTTGCAAAAAATCACATTTGTGTTGCTGTTGTGTTTGAGTTTTCCTGTTAACAGTTGAACTTTCCTGAATATTCCGCACAGGCCACAGCCCAGCGGGAACTGACCGGAGGTAGAAAGTTTTTTACTTTTTAAATTTTTTTCTTTTTTTTTTAAACTCCATTTTACCTGAGTTGGTGTGGGACCCCACACTGTCCGACAAACCCCTCCCACCCCAAGAAACTAAAAGGTTCACATGTTCTGAACAAAACAACTTAGCTCACCTTTACCCAGAAGTTAAAATAAAATCCACAAAAGCCAAAATTATGTGGGGTTGGGGGAAAAAAATGAAGTGTGTAAAAATGACCAAAAAAAAAAAAAAAAAGAGAAAAATCCCGTAAGACTATACAGATAGATAACTCTCAGAAAACACTAACTCAGCTGTTTCCAAGCCCCATGCCCACCCACCCACTGCAGCTGGACAGACAGACAGACATACATACGGCCTGGTGGCCAGCAGAAGTGCCACCAGGAAGATTGCAGAAACATCTTGTCCCTGGGAAGGTTCTAGAAGCAGCCCGCACCTGCCCTTATACCCTCTTTGCCCTGAGTTTGGGGGGGTCTGGCTTGCCCAGACCCGCAAACCCTGAGGTCCCAGGGTGGACAATGACTGTGTCCAGCCCCATGCCCACGGCAGCTTGCATAATGAGTGCCAACTGCACTGAATGCCAAGGGCTGGGTGACAGGACCATGGAGGGCCACCAAGTGTGTCCCCACAGTCACAGAGCCCTGGTGGGAAGGCCCCTTGGCAGTGGGCGCTTTCTGGCCACTCAGAGTCCCAGACATCCCGTCCCCACTGTGGACCAGGCGACCAGGAAAGTGGGTGACCTGGGTGCATTTTTTTTTCTTTTTGGCATCAAAAGACCTGAGGTAGAAAGAAACATGCCCTGGATGTGCCCACCAAGGCGACCCCCTCAATCAGACCCTACCAGGGACACGGGGGACGGGCCCCTGTCTCCCCAGGCCAGGTTACCCACAGAGGTCTACTTTGCACAGAGTTGTCAGAAGGGGACAGAGACCCCCTCAACACCCGTGACCAGGAATGATTGTGCGGCTAACACAGTGGCCCCGAAAGGGGGCAGGCAGAAGCTTCCAGAAGGAAAAGCTGAGATTCCCCATCCCCTCCAAATAAGGCTACACCCTCCTCCTGGGAGGATGGGAAGGGGGTGCCGTCAACCCTGAGACAGCAAGGAAGGGGGCTGTCCCCACAGCGAGAGACAGAGCAAGGGGACTTCTAGGACAGGGGACAAACGGGCCCCAGCTCACCCCGAGTTCCTGTCCTGGCCCCCATGGGGACAGCGACCAAGGCAGAATCCAGGGAAGGTCCCCCTATCAGGGGGAGATTGTGTCATCTCTGCCCTGGTAGCTTCGGCCCAAACGAAATGCAGTTTTCTTTTGTGAGGCAGGGTCTCCTGTAGCCCCAAGGTGGCTTGGAATTGGCTGTATGACCAGGCTGGCCTACTCACGATGCTAGAATTAAAGGCGTGTCCCACTGCCCCCAGCCTCCCCGTCCTCCCTTTGTAGAGACAGGGTTTCAAGTAGCCCAGGCTGACCTCAACCTGCATAGGTAGCCAAGGATAACATTCAGCTCTCCTCATCCTACCAAGAACCGCCCAGTTCGTTTGGACGATGGGACCAAGACACGGGACCAAGGACCAGGGTCCGTCCTGGCCATATTTAACTGCTCCCAGCATGAGGAGCGACAGAGACGAGAACAGGCTACGGACCTGTCTCAGCAGACTCCTTGTCCTGAGCTAAGCCTGGCACACCTGCCTCCCCAGAAGCAACCCATCCAGGCAGAGAGTCCAGATCTTCATCCCTGAGACACACGAGGCCACTGTATTCCGTGTGCGGCTCCCCCTACCTGCTTCTAGAACATTCTGTGTCCTGGGTAAGCGATCCAGGTCCCTGAATGATGGAGCCAGTGGGCGGGGCCCAGCATGACAGAGAACTGTGGAATTTGCTGAGAGCCAGCATAGGCCAGCCCTGTCAAGGTGCTGAGTCAGGGGCTCCACAGGACACCAAAGGGGCTGGGAGACCGTGGCTGGTGCTTTTGCCTCTTAAAAAAAAGTTTGTTTCCCTGAATGAACACAAATATATAGACATACAGGTGGGACACTTCCTGAGATCCAATCTCCACCATCCAGAATATAATAGAATATTTACAAAATCGGAAACCCCAAAACCTTTAAAAAATTTCCATCTGAATGCTGAGATCTCGTTTAAAAATGGAAAAAAAAATTCATAGCTTCCAAGGAGAATGAAATAAAACAACGATCCTGGCTCTGGCTTGGTTGGTTTTCCCAGAAGGAACCACAGTTAAGGGCCCAGGAACAACAACAACAAAAAAAAGACCCAAGTGAGAACACAGTGCTGGGATTCATGAGGTAAATAGTCGAGCTTGAACTGGGCGGGTCAAGCCAGACCCCCATGGAAGCCTCTGGAAAGGTGGCCTCCTGCTTCAAGTTGCCTTGGTGGCCCTTGTCAAATCCATTTCTCGGAGTCTCCAAAACCTGAGAGATTCAAGTGTTCTCTGCCCTGATTTATTAAATCTGTTTCTCTATCTATCTCTCTATATATGTATTATATATATTTATATATATTTTTTCTCTCTCTCTCCTTTTTGGCGTCAGTGTGGCTCCTTGGGAATCTGCCCAGCCCGCTGGGATTCTTCCGATGTCCCAGGTCCCCATGTGGCTGTGTGGTCCCCGTGGTGGGTGGGCAGCGACACGACTTGATCTCCTTTAAGGCAAGGAGTTGTTTGAGGTAGATGTGATGGGCGCAGACGCTCCGGCCAGGCCCACCTGGCTGCTGCCGGTCCCGCCGCCGGCTCCTGTTCGGCTGCCCACGGTGTTGTTGGTACCAATGCTGCCCTTGCTGGGGGCGGAGGGTGGTGTAGGGGGTGGTGGCTGAGCAAACAGCACCCCTGAGACAAGAACAAAGGGAGGGGCTCGTAACGGTGCCCGCCCACGACTGTCTACTGAACAGTGTGGGCGGCACAGGCCTGGGAGCCCAGCAATTTATGAGGCGGGCCAACCTGGGCTACAGAGAGAGAGAGAGAGTTCTAGGCCAGCCAGGGTGTGTTGGCAAGACCCAGTCTCAAAAGATCCGTAGGAGGGCTGGCAAATGGCTCAGTGGGCAGAGGCGCTTGCTGCCAAGCTGGATGCCCCGAGTTCAATCCCCGGGACCCGCAGTGCGCGGGGTAAACCGACTCTCACAGGAGTGACCGCCCCATAGCCCCAAGTGGTGCAGGCTTGACAGCAGCGGTGCGTGGCGAGATGCGGGAGGGGACCCTCGGCTCACCTGTGTACACGATGCCGTTCATCTCCACAGACATGCTAATACTGTTGCTCCCATTGGCGCTGCTGAGGCTCACAGCTGAGTCCTGGCGGCTCTCAGAGGCTGTGGGGACAAGAGAGCCACCACTGGGGTCAGGGCTACGCCTGCGGAGTGGCTTGCTTCCTGGCTGCCCCCTCTATGAGGCCTTTTTAATTTTGGGGAGTGGGGTCATTTTATTTATTCATTTACTATTTTTTTGTTTGTTTTTTGAGACAGGGTTTCTCTGTATTGTTTTGGAGGCTGTTCTGGAACTCACTCTGTAGACCAGGCTGGCCTCAAACTCGCAGAGATCCGCCTGCCTCTGCCTCCCGAGTGCTGGGGTTAAAGGCTGCGCCACCACCACCTGGCCTATTTATTTTTTATGACCAGGTTTTATGCTGTAGCTCAGACTAGCCTTGAACTCACCATCTTCCTGCTTCAGCCTCCTGCTGGGGTCGGCAACACCATGTGTGAGTCCAAGGACTCCATGTGAAACAAACTCTGATAAATGTTAACACCTCCTAGGAACTTACAGATTCCCAACTAGACAGACTCAGTTTTATGCATGAACGAACCAGCTCTTGGTAACCCCTTTCTGACTGATTTGCCAGCGCTCTTTACATAGAATGGCTTATTTTGCCCGGCATGCATGGACTGTGGAGGGTGCCAAGTTCAGGGTACCTTGGCTATTGATCCGGATGTTCATGGGCAGCTGGGCCGTCATGGCCAGGAAGTTCTGCTGCAGAGCTCGCTGCATGAGACGTTGCTGCTCATCAGCAACCAAGGCCATCTTTTTCTCCGGTGGCTCCGTAGATTCCAGCTTCTCCCGGAGCTGCTCCAAGGCGGCTGCCTGCGCTGCCACGGCTGCCTGGGCCGCAGCCGCTTGCACAGCAGCTGCCTGGGCTGCCACGACGGGATGGCCCGCCAAAGATACAGGCAGGCGGCCCGGGACTGGGATGGGGATGGCAGAGTCTTCCTCTGGACAGAATCAGAGCAAACGGTCAAGGGACTGCCAGGGAAGAGCAGTGGGCTTTGCCTCCACCGAGGTGGGAGCTGACCCTGTGAAACCTGAACAGCCTGCACTCCCCATCCCAAGGCTTGCTGGTTTGGTTTGGAGTCTCATGTAGCCCAGGCTGGCCTCACACTCACTTTGTAGCTAAAGATGACTGTGAACTGATTCACCTCCCTCCCAAGTGCTGGGCTGACAGGCATGTACCACCACACCTCGCTAACACGGTGTTGGAATGGCACCTAGGACTTCCTGCTAGCTGGGCAGGCATTCTCCAACCACCGAGTTACCGCCTCAGCAGTGCCGTGTGTGCGCTGGGAAGAACTTAGAGCCTCCGCAGAGAAGACCGCCATCAACCCGACTAGTGACATCTACATAAAAGGTCACTTTCTTATTGGGGACATGTGGACCTGGGCCTCCCACCTCTGATGTGAAAGGCAGGCTCAGAAAGGATTACCGAGTTGCCCAGGGGTACCCAGCATTAGGTTTAGGATGATTCAAGGGTAGTGTCATGAGGGCACTTTGTCCATGTCTGGTAAAGGCCAGACGTCTCCAGAGCTCAGAAGGAAACAGAAGTGACCTCTTAGTAAGTGATGCTTGCCACGCACAAGAGACTGATGCTGCAGTCGATTAGCAATGCTGGGTTTAGAAAGGAGTAGAGCGCTCAGCTGATCCTGCCTGCCCTCATGTGGGTCCAGCGTGAAAGCCAGAGCTTAAGTAGTAATGTCTGCTGAAGGTGTTCCCGTGTCATTTCAAATCGAGCTGTTAATCACTGGAAACGTCATCAAGTGCTTCAGTCTGACCGAACCCAGCACTGTGCATGGCGCCTCAGGCAGCTCTCTCTGTCCATCAGCAGCAGGACATGCCAAGCATGTGTGACACTGTAGACAGGGGACTGGGACCAGGGACTGACTAGTAATGCCTGCCTCGGTAACAACAGCCGGGCTGGACAGGAGAACTCTTTCCCACTAACTCAGGTTTATCACGGCTGTTACCCAGAGAAATAAAAGGATAACCTCACTGGGCGGTGGTGGCCACGCCTTTAACCCCAGCACTCGGGAGGCAGAGGCAGGCGGATCTCTGTGAGTTCAATGCCGGCCTGGGCTACAGAGCGAGCTCCAGGACAGGCTCCAAAGCTACGCAGAGAGAAGCCCTGTCTTGAAAATCAAACAAGAAAGGGATGAGCTCATTCCCTCACATGGTTCACCTTTCTTGATCTTGGGTGCCGGAGTGATGGAGCTGCCATTGGTGCTGGCAGCAAGGCCCAGGGAAGTCACTGGTAGCTTGGGCGAGGACAGCACGTTGTGGGCCCCACTGGGCGAGTAGGCGAAAAGCGAGCCCCCGAAGCTCTGGCGCCGGCCCTCCCTGCGGTTGCTGTCTATGGCGGCCTGGAGCTCGTTGGGGCTGCTCAGGCCGCGTCGTTCGCACTCATAGGGGTAAAGATACTTCATGTACCTGTGGACAGGGAGCAGGATGGCACCGGCGACAACCAGGGAGTGTCACCCTGCCACAAGCTCACGAAGGGGACTCAGTATCTCAGGAGCAGCAGGAGGGCTACCTCGGGAGGTCATGGCTGTTATGGGGGTGCTCTCAGGAGGTCATGGCTGTTATGGGGGTGCTCTCAGGAGGTCATGGATGTTATGGGGGTGCTCTCAGGAGGTCATGACATTATAGGGGTGCCCTCAGGAGGTCATGGCATTATGGGGTTGCCCTCAGGAGGTCATGGCATTATGGGGGTGGTCTCAGGAGGCCATGGCGTTATGGGGGTGGTCTCAGGAGGTCATGGCGTTATGGGGGTGGTCTCAGGAGGTCATGGCGTTATGGGGGTGGTCTCAGGAGGTCATGGCGTTATGGGGGTGCTCTCAGGAGGTGGCGCAGCCCGCACTCACTGTGTCCGCAGCGTGAAGGCGGCGCTGGTGATGGAGGTGGGCAGGTTGAGCCCCTTGGTGATCTCCCGCCACAGCTTCTTGTTGATGACCTCCACGAGGCCCCCCTTCTCAGTCACCAGCACATACAGCATGAACAGGTCCAGGACTTGCTTGGCCATGATAGGGATGCGGTTCACGGGCGTGCCTGGGGGACACCAGGGAGGGGCTGCTAAGGGCAGGCAGGAGTAAGGTGTCCAGGGCCCCGCAGGGTGCTGAGGGCCGTCCCTTTTCTCCCCACCCCACCCCAGGTCTTTCCGTGTGGCAGTCACCTACACACTCCCCCTAACAGCTCCCAGAGTGGTGTGACCCCAGGCCATGCCCCTGCTAGCCTCAGTTTCCCCAAGACATTAGGGCAGAGGAGGGGCTAGAAGAGAGAGGCCGGCGACCACCCTGGGGACAGTCAGTAGACACCGGGGCCTGGTTATTCCCGCTCCAGGTCTCCAACAGCAGGAGCTGCCAGCCAACCACAGGCATCACTGCTCAGCCCTGCCCCTCCTCAGCCGTCCCCAGGGGGCTGCGGTCTCTAGCGGGGTGGGCAGCTAATGGGTTGTCAGTTCAGGAAGCAGGGGCACCCATCTTGTATCTAGTGACACCCTGTCATCCCTCGGAACCTCACCTCCCAGGACGTCCGTTTCCCAGACCTGCTACACACAGATCCCCGCACCATTCTGCCAACTCAACTCCCAGAGGTTTTTTCTTTTTCTAATTTTTTGAGACACGGGTTTTCTGTGTAGCCCCAGCTGAACCCAAATTCACCAAGATCCGCCTACTTCTGCCTCCCAAGTACTAGGATTAGAAGTGTCACCAACATCCGGTGACTCCCAGAGATTTTGCCTATGTCCCCATCTCAGAGCCTAACCTCTGCCCAACTCTGACTTCTGTCTGGGAGGTTCTAGGCTCCGGAGGCTCTCCCAGCCATCCTTATGCGGACGCCCCAGCCTGCTGTACAGCAAGTACTCAATAGAGAATGCTGAAGACGGCCTCCACCCCAGCCACTGACGTGAGAGGGGACACCTCCACCCCCTTTCCTGATGGGGAAACTGAGGCTCCGGGGCGCCTGGTTCACCTGTCCCACGGACTCCACGGCCCCAGAAACTCAGCACTGGGAGACCCTCTCCCTGTTCTCTCCCAAGTTGTAAAAACTCCCGTGTGAATCAAGCGGAGCCCAGGGCGGCTGTGGGAAGGTGGGTCTCGAACCCACCACCCTGTTTGATCACAGCTCAACCCTAGAGAGAGGCCAGGAGGTGGGCAGGGCAGTCTTAACCAGAGGAGAAGGAAGTTTATATGAAGTCTAGGAGCCCGAGGGAGGGCTGAGGCCGGGGTGAGGGAAGGGTGGGGAACCTGGCAGGGGGCAGGCAGGATACACCCCCATTTCCCGTCTCCAGAGACTTCTGAGGAAAATTTGTTTCAAGGCCTCTGCTATTTGATGCCAGGAGTCATCTGTCCCTCTAAAAAAGGACCCATGGGTGGTGGGTTGTGCTGGCTGGGCAAGGGTGGCGGTTTCAATACCGACTCCAAATCACTAAGGACCTCAGGAGAAAGTACCCAAGGTGGCAGCAGACCTGGGGTTTTGAGGGCTACACAGGAGTTTGTTGGTTTGACTTGGTTAGGGAGGCAGGGTTAAATGTGGATGACTTTCACAGCCCTTTGTGGTCAGTGGCTACTACAGCCTCGAGGTCCCTGGCCTTGCTGACCCCATTATGGGGGGTGGGGGTGGTGGTTAGGACGGCCAGCTATGTGGCCTCCGGGCAGCTGGAGGCCTCCTGCTGTGTGTGGGACTCTGGCAGGTGGGGGCTGATGATAACAGAGGGATGGGCGATCTCTCTGGCCACACGGCCACGAGGCCACACGGAGGGCAGCAGGGCTGGACTGAAGGTGGCTGGGCTCTGCGGATAGCACAATGTCCGCCCCACACCCACAGCGACCGGCTGGCCCCGCCCCGACATGGAGGGGTTAACTCGAGAGGCCACCGGGCTGGGCCGGGATCAGGAGGCCACAGTACCCCTTCTCTCTGCCTTCCGGTGGGCAGGCCTGGAGGTTTGTGTTTACAGAAGCTGGGCCCCAGCGGTGGCCTGGGCCGGCCTCAGGTCCCCCCCCCCGCCCCTTCCTGCTTCCATGGCTGAGGCCTCCACCCTCTCTGGACCTCAGTTTCCTCCCTGGGATTATAACGACCCAGCTGTTCCCAACCTATGGTGGAGAGTGAATCCCCCAGGGCCCTGTCCACCTGGAGCTGGGGACAGTCAGAGTTTGGGGAGCACTCCCTCCTCACCCCGCTTCTGCATGAAGCTGAACAGGTCGTCCAGGAACTCCTTCCTCTTGGGATCTGCGTCCAGTTCATAGAGCTGCAGACAGAGTAGGGGTGGTCAGTGGGCAGGAGGGACATGTCCCCACCACAGGGGGTAGGAGGGGGACAGCAGCAGAAACTCAGCCAGCCCCATACACCCCAAGATGACACAATGCTGACCCGCCTCCACCTCATGCAGGGCTCACTAACCAATGCCCAGACCTGGGGGACCGGAAGGGAGACAGGGGTTCTCAGTCCTGGGTCCCCAAAGCCGCAGGAAGTGTCCTTCCCACCTCTCCCAGCAGTAGGAGCTCTGGACATTGTCCCACAAGGAAACTGAGGCACAGCGACACTGACAGTCCTTCAATCCATCTACTCAGTCATCCAAACCCTGAGCACCTGGGGTCCCTGTCTTGTCTCCTATGTAGACTAAGCCTCTGCCCACCCAGTGTGGGGGTGGAGTGACTCAGGGACTGCTGTCACAAGACAGAGTCCTGGGACACACTGACCCAGGGGGGACACACTGACCCAGGGGGACACACACTGACCCAGGGGGACACACACTGACCTAGGGGGACACACACTTGACCCAGGGGGGACACACACTGACCCAGGGGGGACACACTGACCCAGGGGGGACACACTGACCCAGGGGGACACACTGACCCAGGGGGGACACACACTGACCCAGGGGGACACACACTGACCCAGGGGGGACACACTGACCCAGGGGGACACACTGACCCAGGGGGACACACACTGACCCAGGGGGGACACACACTGACCCAGGGGGACACACACTGACCCAGGGGGACACACACTGACCCAGGGGGGGACACACTGACCCAGGGGGACACACACTGACCCAGGGGGGACACACTGACCCAGGGGGGACACACTGACCCAGGGGGGACACACTGACCCAGGGGGACACACACTGACCCAGGGGGGACACACTGACCCAGGGGGGACACACTGACCCAGGGGGGGACACAGTGACCCAGGGGGGACACACTGACCCAGGGGGACACACTGACCCAGGGGGGACACACTGACCCAGCTGTGGGGACACACTGACCCAGCTGTGGGGACACACTGACCCAGGGGGACACACACTGACCCAGGGGGACACACTGACCCAGGGGGACACACTGACCCAGGGGGGGACACAGTGACCCAGGGGGACACACACTGACCCAGGGGGGGACACAGTGACCCAGCTGTGGGGACACACTGACCCAGGGGGACACACTGACCCAGGGGGACACACTGACCCAGGGGGACACACACTGACCCAGGGGGGACACACTGACCCAGGGGGGACACACTGACCCAGGGGGGACACACTGACCCAGGGGGGACACACTGACCCAGGGGGGACACACTGACCCAGCTGTGGGGACACAGTGACCCAGGGGGGACACAGTGACCCAGGGGGACACACACTGACCCAGGGGGGACACACTGACCCAGGGGGGACACACACTGACCCAGGGGGACACACTGACCCAGGGGGACACACTGACCCGGGGGGACACACTGACCCAGGGGGGACACACTGACCCAGGGGGGACACAGTGACCCAGGGGGACACACACTGACCCAGGGGGACACACACTGACCCAGGGGGACACACTGACCCAGGGGGGACACACTGACCCAGGGGGGACACACTGACCCAGGGGGGACACAGTGACCCAGCTGTGGGGACACACTGACCCAGGGGGACACACACTGACCCAGGGGGGACACACTGACCCAGGGGGGACACACTGACCCAGGGGGACACACTGACCCAGGGGGGACACAGTGACCCAGCTGTGGGGACACACTGACCCAGGGGGGACACACTGACCCAGGGGGGACACACACTGACCCAGGGGGGACACACTGACCCAGAGGGACACACTGACCCAGGGGGGACACACTGACCCAGCTGTGGGGACACACTGACCCAGGGGGGACACACTGACCCAGGGGGGACACACTGACCCAGCTGTGGGGACACACTGACCCAGGGGGGACACACTGACCCAGCTGGGGGGAGATAATTAGAATGCTCAGCTGAACACCAGGCTTCACATTAACCACCAGGAATGCAGCTGGCAGGACTGTGGGGGGCCTTGAAACCACCAATTACACCTGGGTCTGCGTGATCCATCATTTAGTCTCCAAAAGCTTGGTGGGAGCCTCCCAGTGGGCAGCTGGGGCCATCCCAGGCCATCCTTCCAACAGCAACCCTGCCCAAGACTCAGTTTCTCCATCCGTTCAATGGATGGAGACCATGGACAGGGAGTCCAGGCCTCGGCCCTGGGTGGCCTTGGCTGTCAGCGGCCCGGCTTTGTCTGCGCCCCACCCCGGGCCGCCAGCGCCAGACTGGCCGGCCCACATTCCTAAGTCCAGGGAGGCCGGTCTCCCTCCCAGGCTGCCTGAGGGGAGCGGGGCCCCTGGGTGCCGCGCACAAGCGCCCAGAACCAGCTGGAGTCTCCCACACTTCCCTAAGGGGGTTCCGCCTTCACTGGTGGGGAGCACCAGCACCGGAGAGTGTGGGACCATGGGTGTGCCCAGGACACGGCAATCACTTAATAATCGCTTCGCAGTGCAACCTGATTTCCTCAAGCGGCTACCTGGGCAGGGCAACGCGGGTGGAGCCCTGTGACGGGGCGTGGCCAGAGCCCCCAACACTGGAGAGGAGGAAGGACCCGCCCCCTGGAAGGGCTGGAAGCCCTGTGCAGAGCCCAGGCTCCTCAGCCCCCTCCACAAGACACCGCTAAAGCCTCCTTCCTCAGTTTCCCCATCTTCACTGGGAAGCCCAAGACGAAAGTGTAGCCAGTTGGTAGCTCAGTGGGCGGAGCGCTCGCCCAACACTCATGAGGCTGTGGGTTCCACCCCTCAGAACCCCATAAACCAGGCGTCTTTGTGGGGCACACCTGTCATGCCAGCACTCCGGAGGTGGAGGCAGGAGGGTCGGGAGTTCAAGGCCAGCCTGGGCTACGTGAGACCCGGTCTCAAAACAAAACAACCGCTACCCCCAAACAACAGTTCCACCCGAGCTTCAGAGCACTGGTGCCTCTGGGGAAACCAGGCGCTGTGTAATGCCTGTTCTAACAGGAGATGCTGAGACGCTGACCGGTCAGTGTCGGGCCTGCTCAGACATCTGCAGGGACAGGACATCAATCCAAAGCTATAAATGGGGGACCCACGGGGATCCCCAGCTGCTATGGGGGAGGGTCAACAACAAAGACAGGCCGTAAAAGCCGGGCGGCTTTATGGACATCCTGCCCCTCTGGCTGTCCTCTGAGGGGGGTGCATCCCACCCTGGAGAGCAGGCTCTGGGGGGACAGTGTCCCCGTCCCCCATTCTAGCCCAGGGCCCAATACTGTGAGAGGTTTTCCTTATCTGACTCAGAGTACACAGCAGTTGTCTAATAAGTGCTCATTACGTATGCATGCTTTCTTGGGCCTTGCAGCAGAACAACCCTTCTGCTTCGTCTGCAAACTGGCTTCGGGTTGCCGGGATAAAGGCATACAGCAGGCGCTCACTTTGTAAGCACTGTCCTTCTCGCCTCCCCTTTGCGGTCAACCAAGCAGCTCCTTCTCAGGAGTGTGAGCACATCTTCTCAGGAGTATGAGCACATCTCCTCAGGAGTGTGAGCACATCTCCTGCTCTACAGCCCTGGCTCACATTACCCGACCTCCTCGGCTCACCAGAGACCTTTTGTTGGGGGGTTCCCCTTTGGATTTTTGAGACAGGGTTTCTCTGTGTAGCCCTGGCTGTCCTGGAACTCACTGTAGACCAGGCTGACCTCGAACTCACAGAGATCCGCCTGCCTCTGTCTCCTGAGTGCTGGGATTAAAGGCGTGCGCCACCACCGTCTGGCTCTTGTTTTTTCCTTTTGACTGTTTTTTGCTGGTGAATTGTTCACAAACGGTAGTCTGGCTTTTTTGAGGCGAGGTCTAACCTGGAACTCCTGGGACCCTCTTGCTTCTTCCTCCTGTGAGCTGGGGTGACAGACCTGAGTGGTCACCACAAACACCCCTTCCAGATCTGGCGGGCCCCGGGCCCAGATAACATCCCATCTGTAGGTTTCTGTTCTGACCACACCTGGGCAGCCAGGGCCGTTCCCACAAGGGCCCAGGGCGGTGTCCTCAGAGCTGAGGGGCCCTGGCTGTCCCCGGCAGTTAAAAAAAAAAAAGCTGCGCTGAGTGTGTATACATGTGTAGGAGGCCCCTGAGAAAACCTTTGTCCCCCAGACTGTGGCAGCCCAGGCCCCCTGCGGGCTCCCCAGGGCTCCAAAGTCCACACGGCCCCACCTGGGACTGGTGCCAGGTGGGGTGGACCCCAGCATGGACACTCCCTGCAGTCACCCAGTTTGGGTACAGCAGAAGACAGACACTGGCTGTGGCCTGGGTTTGACACCCTGGGCCCTGTGACAGGTACCTGCCTGACTGATGGGACAGTTTGGGATTTGCTTTTTTTGATAGGGGTCCATGAGCCCAGGCTAGCCTCACCTGAAGCAATCCCGACTCATCTGTCCCCTGGCTGCTCGCCATGATGGGACCACAGGTGGCAGCCACACCAACTACCAGGCTGTGAAGGCGTTTTAAAGGCACATTCGTGCCTGCTGTGGGAACTCAAGCTGTTTTCCTCTTTAGTGATCATGAAACGTGGATCAGATTTGAGTCAGCAACTCGCCCCCAGGTGAGGGGCAACTCAGCAAAGCTAGCTGGGTGTCTCTGCCCACTTGGCAGGAATGAATGGATGAAACCAAACTGTCCCGTGTGCACCCCTCTCTGTGTGGGGTTTTTAAAATGGCTTTCTTTGAGTAGGTGTGGTGGCGCACTCCTGTAATCCCAGCACTCAGGAGGCAGAGGCAGGTGAATCTTTGAGTTCAAGGCCAGCTTCATCTACAGAGTGAGTTCCAGGACAGCCAGGGCTACACAGAGAAACCCTGTCTCAGAAACCAAACAGGCTGGAGAGATGGCTCGGGGGTTAAGAGCACTGGCTGCTCTTCCAGAGGACCTGGAATTCAGTTCCCAGCATCCACGTGGAGGTTCA